GGGGCGGGGACCGGCGACGGGCCTCCCCGCCCCGAGCGTCGCGGGGGACACAACGGGGCTTCCGTTGCCGGCCCCGGTCGCTCAGGCTGGGGAAGGGGGGACGGAGGGACGCCGGTCCGAGCGGGGAGTCGCCGGCCGGGCCGTGCCGGGGGGAGTCCCGCCGGGAGGGCGGTATCGAGGGGGTCGAGGGGGCTTCGCGGCTACCGGAGGCGTCCGGCAGAAGGGCCGGCTTGAAGATGAGGGAGGCCTCATGGGTGACCCGGGGCGGAGGGGGACGTTGGGTGCGGGCAGGGAGGAACGGACCCTATAGAGGCAGATGCCAGCAGGCATGATGCGACGGTGTGGGGCGCCAAGGCGGAGGCCACCGTCACGTTTCCGGGTTATTCAGCCTGGAGAAGAGGAGGCTGAGGGGAGACCTTATTGCTCTCTCCAACTACCTGAAAGGAGGGTGTAGAGAGGTGGGGATCGGTCTCTTTTCTCAAGTCACAGGCGACAGGACAAGAGGAAATGGCCTCAAGTTGCGCCAGGGGAGGTTCAGGCTGGATATTAGGAAACATTTTTTCACTGAAAGGGTTCTCAGCCATTGGAATGGGCTGCCCAGGGAGGTGGTTGAGGCACCATCCCTGGAGGTGTTCAAAAGACGGGTTGATGTAGTGCTGGGAGGTATGGTTTAGTGATGATGCTCCTTGTTTGTTGTGTGGGTGTCTATTTTTGTCAGTTAGGTCGACGGTTGGACAAGATGATCTTTAAGGTCCCTTCCAACCTAGAAGATTCTGTAATTCTGTGATATCACCGGGCTGACACAACGGGGGGGCGGCCATTGACCCCTCCCGCCAGCCACAGCCACATTCGGGGCAGGAGGCTAGTAGGGGGTGGGACGTGGCAAGCTCACAGTGCGCCTGCAAGACCCCGAGGAGCCACGGTTCGCAGGGATGTGTCTGTCATGTGCATCAATCTGGTCTCAGAGAGAGAAGGATGAGTACAGGTTGTGGTGTAAGGCAGGATTTTATTAGACATTGATCAGTAATGCACAGGTGGTTGTGTATCAGGAATCATCGGGAGGAGCACCCTTGTGTCAGTAGGGTACCGGTTCCGACTGTTGCCCGGGGCATGGTCTAGTAGGTCCCGTGGCTTCCAAGAGGAGCCTGTCGCATTCAAAGCTCCTTCTCGCAGGGGAGTGTAGGCACAGCCAGGTCTAGACTGGGTCCCAGACTCAGCACCGTATGCCTGAAGGAGGAAGGAGGAAGGGAGCGCCTCACGGGGAGAGAGGCTGGAGGGGCAGCAGGGAGGTACAGGCTGTCCACGGTCTTCCTCGGTGAGGACTACTGGCCTGTCCGGGCGTCATCACAGTCCCGGACTCGGACTCGTGCAAGGGCATCACTGTAAAGGGCAATTCTAGTGCAATGAATGTAGCAGAGCTATCATTCCATCGAACATGGTCTGTCTAGCACGGTTCTAGTCTGGTCCCCAGGGCGAGTCAGCATCGAGAGACATCCATACCCAGGGGCAGCTCCCGGAGCAGGGCCCAGGGGCGAGCCAGGGGAGCTGGCGGGGCCACTCAGGAGCGAGGCAACAGAATTGCGATGGTGGCAATTTTGGGATTGGGACCATTGAGGCGTGTCACCTCCAAATGGGTCCGGAGGGAGCGGGTCAGACAGTGTCAGGCACCTTGCAGGGAGGGCACGGGCGGAAACGTGCCCTACATTGGGGTGTAGCTACTCATGTCCCCTAATGAAAGGCAGGGTCGGTGACTGTTTTTGGGATCCCCGATGCAGGCGGTCGCCAGAGGAGGAAAAGGACGTCAGGCACAGGATGGTCCACCCAGACCAGGTGGACCGTCAGGGCATATATGATGTAGTGGGAATGTTATTGAAGCCTCAGGAGTAAATCAGGGTCTGGAGAGCATGGAAAGGAATGGCAATGTGGTCTGATGTGGCGTGCTGCCAGGTAGGGCGGGATAGAGAGGTGATGAAGGAAGAGGATGGATCTTTTCAGAAAGGGTCGCCACCTGCCAAAGCAAGGGCACGTAGGGCATCGCGTAAGGGAGATCTTGGCCCGGATGGACCACCCGATGGCGACAGTCTGTCAGGAGCGTACGCCAGGGAATCGGGGGCCGCTTTTGGCCATTTGGTATGGGCTCTTGTCTTGGGGGACCTTGTGAGGAAAGGACGCGTGTCCGGACTGGCATGGAGTTGTTGGGAGCACCACTGTCAGTTCAGAGGTGTGTCTTCCCAGTGAGGGGGCCCCCCCTGGAGGTGTGTCTTCCCGGTGAGGGGGGCCCTAGGGGCCTGGATCTATTGAGAGGGTCTCCATACCCGGGAGCTCACGCATGGGGTGAAGCAGTCGTCAGCCAGGGTTCAGAGACGCGGGAGTCCACACCGGTATGGCTCAGCGCGTGCCCGAGAGGCACCGGGCCATGAGCAGATGCTGTGTGGTCCTAGGGGGACAGGGCGTGCTGGTCAGGTTGGGGAGAGCAGCAATGGGGTGGAATAGTAGTAATGAAGTGGTAGGCATGTACACACAGCTCGGGAGGAGTCATTTTTGAGGAAAAAGTGGTATGACTAGACGAGAAGCTGTACAGGGAAAGATGGGGCAAAGAGGGTAGGGGGCATGTGACGGTTGATTGGAGTGTACAGGGATGAGGAGGAGGAGGAATGGGGTCAGGGCCAGGAGCGCAAGCACACGGCAAGGCTGCGGGTAGGCAGCATTAGGGGTTCCTGGAGAGCAGAGGGGTCTTTGCGAGGGGTCAGGACTAGCGAGAGCAGGGAGATCCTTGCAAATTGCATGAGGTTCAGCCTGGTGGAGCGCAGGGTTCCCCCTGAGGGTCAGGGCAACTCTCTGTAGTCATAGATGCCGAGGAGCTAGACGTATCAGAGACATGAGGGAGCGGTGGGCACTCGTGTCTTCGGGGCTGCAGCCGGCCGGTCGAGGGAGGGGATAGGGCCCTTGCGTGGCATAGCATGTCCAGTTTGAGAGCCCACAGCGCAGAAAAGACAGGGACGGGTCAGGGTGGACTAGGGGGCCAGAAGACAGGCCAGGAGAGCGGAGGTGGGGTGTCATATCAGGGTAGCATCTGACAAGAATGTGGATAGCTGTACCGGACAGGATGAGAGGAATGGGTCTGAGGGCAAGCCAGGGGAGACGTGGGGGAATAGATAGGTAGGAGGTGAAACATCTGTCAGCGTGGGAGCAGGGTGTCTGAGACGGAATCACCATCCCCGGAGGTAGAGTTTTGTCGTAGCCAGGTCTGAGGGTCAGACAGGTCCCTGCTGAGCTAGGCAAGGCTAGGAACGTGTGACTGATAGCGGGCTAGTTAGTGGGCAGTGTGTGTATCAAAGAGGGGTCGGAGGGCGGTGGGTGTCCAGCTGGAGGGGGTCCTTTCCAGGTAGGGCCTTGGCTGACAATACTCAGCCTGGTGAGGCAGCCTTGCCATTGGCTCGGCTGCCCGTCTGGGGGCTGGGGCCTGTGAGTGGGTGCTGGGGAGCCAACGGGAGGCTGGAGGAAGTTGGGGGGAGAGAATCATAGAATCATAGAGTCATAGAATTGCCCAGGCCTTCTGGGGACCTTCCAAAGGTCATCTAGTCTGACCCCCCCGCAGTCAGCAGGGACACCCCCAACTAGACCAGGTTGCCCAGGGCCTCGTCGAGCCTCTCCTTGAATATCTCCAGGGAAGGGGCCTCAACCACCTCCCTGGGCAACCTGTTCCAGTGCTCCACCACCCTCACAGTGAAGAACCCTCTCCTCATCTCCAGTCTAAATCTGTTCCCCTCCAGCTTGAAGCCATTGCCCCTCGTCCTGTCACTGCAGGCCTTTCTAA